AATGAGCTACAGAATTGTCCCAGTCCTGCTAATTAACCCAAAGTTGTAACTTAGGACTCCTTATATGACCTCAATAATCCAAACCAAAAGCATTAGCAGGGACACCATCCATGCGCAACATAGCATTGTTAATATTCTGATATTTATAGCTGTTTATGGAATCAGCTTCTCTGAGAGCTACCACAGAGTTAAAACCTAACTACCAGCCAGCCTCAGAACCATTAAACTGAGTTTAGATTTGTACCCTCATTAGAAGATAACAGCAAGAGTTACATAGCCACTATCAAGGAGGTACAAGCAAAAATCTATGACTAGAGTTGAGAAGATCCAACAATCATCAGCCTAGGCAGTAAACAATGTAACACAAGTTTACATCTATGCCAGCCTAATAAATGAAGAAGGATTTTAAAGCTGGTCAACAGAATTATTTTGCTTACCCCTAAAATCTTTGCCTAGGAGGCCTTCTTCAAGAAAGTAGCTGAAGGCAACTTTCTGCCCAAGATTAGTATTTTTTTCGAGACACCATCTCTCACATCTCTACCACACCATCTCTAGCCTCTAATCAACCAAGAGCTTCAAGTAGGGGAATTTTACCTGGATGCAGTTACTTCTAGCCTTTGCTTAAAAAAAGCAATTCCTACAAGGTAGCAGGGCATGGGAAAGATAATACTGATTTATATAAAACCAGTAGTAGGGTGATTGTGATTATCCTAAACCTGTCCTGAACTTGAGTAGTTAAAAGAAGAAGTTACTTCCTGTAAACAAAGTACAAACAAAGTACTTTAAAACATTGTTGGGAATATTTTAGAAGTGCGTTAGAAAAGGCGTCTAAAATCTAACACAATACTAGAGATTAGGGTGAGCTTAGCTTTTATAGTTGCAAACACTAGTTGGTTATGAACACTGTGCCTGAAGTTCAAACAGGACACAAACATACATAAAGTAAATTATGAGTTAGTGAACACTGCACCAAGGGTTAGGGCAGAACACAAACTACAAATAACAAAGGTAAGTGAGCATTGCACCAGAGGTTTAGAACAGAACACAAACAGGAATATATAGTAATTTACAGATGACCTTACACAGTATTTAAGACCTCTAACTGTATAAAAAACAAAAAAAATATTTATAAAAAATTTATATAAAAAAAAATATATTACTATATGCATGACAGATATTAGACAGTATTGATGACAGGAAGTACACTTCGACTAGCCTTTGCTTAGAAAGCAAATTCTACAAGTCAGCAGGACATGGAACGAGTTGTGCTGGATTACCGACTAAGTAGTTTTGCAAGTCACAACACTTGTAGTTTCAATTTTGTAAGTCCATACTTCTTTGGTACCTATTTTGAAATTCACAACACTTTTTTGGGCATTTTATAAATCATGGCTTTACCTAGATAGTCCTTACCTAAACATCATGTGTTATAATAATAAAAAAAGTTGTTGTATTATAATATAAGCAAGTCATAACAAAAAAAATTAAATGCCAAAAAATATTTAAAAGAAATAGCAACTTACTTGTTTTATTGTAACTAATTTATTGGTTTTACTTTACTGGTTGTAAATTAATATAAGATTTTTAAATAAAAATTAGATAAATGGTCAATTTTGGTCAAAATAAAAATATATTTTTATGGTAAAAAATAAAAAGACAAAATTATGTTTAAAGTAAAGTATCTTTTTCAGACAAAGATGGTATTCAAGTATAATAATTAGTGTAAATATAGTAATTACAAGTATAATAATTAGGGTTATATTAAAGCATTACCATTACTATTATGGTGATTTCAAATCATGCTAAGATAATAAACTAAAAAAGGGATCACCTTTTTTTTTCCAGGCCTAATGTTAATAAAGTTTCTTTTAATATTCCTTTAGCAGAGATTGCATATGTGTATAGCTTATATAAATCAATTACTTTAGTACCTGGTCCCAGAATTGTTTTTTCCTTATAGGTAGGAGCTTTTTGGCAATAATGAGAGTCCACACATGGTGCCTTAAAAGTCATCATAAAAGTAAGATTGGTTACCTTAAGTAATTATTCTTTTATGAATTTATAATCTTTATCTGACATGTTTTTATCATGACCTGCTTTCTCAAGCCCTTGCTCAACTTCCTAGTTATCAATTTTGCATTTACCATTATTTAACCAATCATTAATAATCCTCTTTAGCATACCCAGTGTGAAACAAAATTTATTTTTACATACTTGTAAAAGTCATTTTGCAGTCTCAAGTTGTATAAAAAATTATTAGCTTGTGTATTGTTTTTTGACTTTTTTTTTGGCACAAGAGCTCTAACTCTTAAAAAGATAATTCCGAAAAAGATGTAAAATTCAAATAAAAAAATAAAGTATGAAGATAAATAATATTCTGATAAGGCTTCTGTTTAACTTTTAATGGTTGTATATTAGGCATTCAATAAAAGATGAACACAGTCCAAAAGTCTTTTCTCTGGTTGCTCACAAATATCGCAACAGGTAAAAAGCTGTCATCACATGCTTTGTCATCATCATTTAAACCTGGAAAAGAAAATGTGTTTTTATTAGATGCTTAGATTATCCAATTTCTATATGCAACAATTAATTTCGTAGCCACCCAAGTCACAAGCAAGCCACAGTTTTACAATGATGAGTTTGCACAGTAGACATTTTCATCATTCTAAGCATGATTTAAACAAAATGTGCTAAGATTTTAACAACTTATATTTTAAACATTAAATATCTGTGATAAAATATGCATTTGTTGATTATCAATGTTTAATAGAGCATTTACCTTATCCAATAATTTTTTAACTTTTGAAACAATGTTGCTTGTTATGAGTTGTCTTGTTGAAAAGCATAGTCGACCAAGTCAAAATACGGATTAGGGCAGAAGTGAAACAAATAGAAAATAAGTGTTTTCTAATTGGTTTAGGACTTAAGTGATTGGCTAATCGATGACTGTTACTATACATTTCAATTACTGCAAAATTATACATTCTATTTCAATTGAATGTTGAAACAAAACATTTTAATTACTAACTCAAAACCCCTCAATTGAAATGATGTAAAATAATTGTGACAAAAAAATAAATAAATATCAGGTCTTCACAGGAAGGCGTGCAATCGCACGTCTTTATATGACCATGCAAAAAATAATACGTTTTAACAATTTGACCACAGCTTTTGACATATTTTCAAAATTTAAAAATGCACAACAAAAATTTATTTAAACTTATCTAAAAAAAATTGTAGAAAGAAAAAAAATCTTAACAGAAGAGAAAAGAAAAAAAATACTTAGTTAAAGCAAAAACACAAAAAAATAAATATATATATAATCCAACTAAAACAAAACTCATCAAACTAAAATGCTTAGTCTATTTAATTTACACATTAAAAAACCATTTCAATCTTTGTTTTAACATTTGTAATTTATATTTTTTTTATTTAATATGTTTCAAAAGATAAACATTTCTCATAAAAAATAAATAATTATATAAATTTAACAATACTTATTTTAAAAATTAATTAGAAGTGTTTTTTTACTTCATTGAAAAGGATTTCGATAATATAGAAGCATTTAAGATCAAACTTATTTAATTGTAACGGCTTTCTCAAACTTTTTTTTTAACAAAATTTTGTTTATCCGTTTTAAATGTATTTACTTTAATTATTCTTATATTAAAATTCGTTAAAGAAACTTTCTTAGTCGTAGAATGTCATCATTTATAAAAATAAAACAATTTTTTATTTTTTATTAACATTTATTATAGAAATGCACACTTAATTTTATATTTTATAAGCTAAAAAAATATATACAACTGTCAATTATATTTGAGAAAAAATAATTATATGTATATATATACTATATGCTGCATACAGTATATATAAGAGTGACTGAAATTGTGACAACCAGGTAGTTTGTTACTTGCAAAAGTGTGTTAAATAATAAAAAAAATATTTTGATCTATGAAGATTCTATTTCTTGCAATTATTTAAAAGAAAACTTAAAAAAACATTCAAAGTAGTATGTCCTTTGTTTAAAAATGAGTACACTACGGTGCGTTATAACTTTACTAAACTTAATTTGAAAAAAGCCTGTTTTTTTAAAAGTTGTTGCATTTTAAAGTGCGTTTCTTCTCAATTTAAAATGAGTTTTAAAATTACATTTTCTCTCAGTTTCAAATGCTAATGTATCATTTTTTAAACCTTATAGTCACATTTTGAATCACGTGAATGGGCAGGTGAATCATTAATAACACTGAATCTCTTATGTTCTTCATTAGTAAAATAAATTTTTGTTTTTAACTTTGTCAAACAAAATTAACAAAAAAAAAACATTTTTAAGATGCATGTGTATTCTAATAAATCATTAGAATGCAATTCTTTTTTTCTAAAAACAAGTCTTAGTATAATGAAAAATGTTTAAAACATAAAAAACATAATGTCTTAAAAATTTAACTAAATGTATTAAGTATTCAGCTAAGTTAAATTTAAAAAACATAATGTCTTATACATTCAACTAAATTAAATTTGACTAAAGGTTGAGAGATTTTTTTCTTAATTATTTTCACTCGATAAAAATGTAAAAAAAAACCCTATTATACTGGACTTTTGATTATCAAAACAGGCCACTCAAATGAGAAATAAAAACTGTTTCAGTCGCGTGCCAGGCAACCATAAAAAGACTTAAGGGTACACCTCTAACATATATATATATATATATATATATATATATATATATATATATATATATATATATATATATATATATATATATATATATATATATATATATATATATATATATATGTATGTATATATATATATATATATATATATATATATATATATATATATATTATATATATATATATATATATATATATATATTTATAAATTTATGTTTATACATATGTTTAACAAGTATGCTTTGTCATATTAATAAATATATTCAAATATAAATAACTAATAAAAATGATTTTGTTTGGATTAAATGTATTATATTTGATTAGGGTTGGAGCTGCAATGCCTGTATTGTTTTCTTACTTTGTGGAATTTATGTCTATGAATCGGCGTGGTCCAATGATTGGATTTATGGCTAGTTTTTGGATGTTTGGCAATATTCTGGCATCTGCTGCAGCTTGGATAATTATTCCAAGAGTTCATATAGGTTTTTATATATTTGGTTTATGGTTTGGTAGTTGGAGAATATTTGTAGTAATATGTGCTATACCTAGTTTGTCTTCAGCATTTTTTCTTTACTTTATGCCTGAAAGTCCCAAGTATCTCCAAAATGTGAGTTGTTACATAATTTTATATTGTTTTTTTTGTTGTTATTTTTTTTCTGAAAAATTTTGTAGTAAAATAAATAAACTTTTTTACTCTTCTGAAGATTTTAAAAAATTGACTAAATGTTTAGAGATTATCTAAATGTTTAGAGGTTATCTAAATTGACTAAATGTTTAGAGGTTATCTAAATTGACTAAATGTTTAGAGGTTATCTAAATTGACTAAATGTTTAGAGGTTATCTAAATTGACTAAATGTTTAGAGGTTATCTAAATTGACTAAATGTTTAGAGGTTATCTAAATTGACTAAATGTTTAGAGGTTATCTAAATGGTCAGAGGTATGCTGGCTTCAAAAAACCTATGTAGGATTTTTCTAAAAATAATAGTACAGATTTTGAGAATTAAAAAAAAAAAAATCAGATAATTTTTGTTAAGCTTAATTATTAAAACAACATTTTGTGTTAATTATGAAAATATTTTTTAAACATAAAGTAACTGAATAATAGATAACCAGGCATTACAAATATTTTATTGAAATTATAACTGATATATACTAACTTTTATTATAAATAAAAATTTGCCTGATACCACTTTAAAATTTATAAACTTAGAATTTCTTTAAGTGTTTAACTTTTGTTTCGAAAAACACATTTATTACTTTAAAATCAAACAGCAAAAGTTATACTAGATTAGATAAAAAGCATTTGTGTTCATACAAAACATTTATCCTTCAATGCTTGGCTCAGCTCAATCAATCCTTGTTGGTAACAGTCTGCTGTAATAGTCGTGTTTGGTTTAAGCAGCTCATAGTATATTACTCCAAGCTGGTCCCACCAGATACAGAGCATGAACTTGGAACCATGAATATTTAGTTTTGCTGTTGATGACTCGGTGGGCTTGTTTTTCCCATCGGTGGACCCATGTTTTTCTGTGTTTAGAGTTGTTGTAATGTATCCACTTTTCATCACCAATAACAAAAAAAATTGTATTTTGATACCCCTCGGTTTCAACTCATATGGTATCCAATTTCTTTGTTTTTTAATCATTTCCAGTTATTTCTAGTCAAAACTATTAATTGATCAACTCCCAATGTTTCTGCAAACTTTTCTTGTGTCTGGCATGGATCTTAATTAATATAGTTTTCAAAAATGTTATGAAAAATAACTCAGGAAGAGTGCCACCAATTTTTTTTAAATTGATTGAGTTCAATACTTTAGGAATTTTTTTGTTACTTAACTCTAAAAAATCTAACTCTTAATAATAGATAAAAAAAATCCACAACTAAAAATTGCTTGGTAACTTAAGTGATGTAACATAAGTTTAATATATAGTATCAAAAAACAAGTTTATTTTCCTTAGCCGCTCATCCAAATTTATATATATATATTTTTAATCAGTATAGAATTCTTAACATCTTGTGAAAGTTTCCAATACAATCCGTTTTACTGATTTGCAGAAATCTGACCTAAAAGTTAAAGCAATTTTTTTACTTTGTTTCCTGCGTAGTGTAAGTAAAGTGGCATTTTCAGTAACAAGTTTGCTCTCTTTTGACCAGACTCAAAACTTTTTAGCTTATTTTATTCTTCAGACTAACAGCTTTCATACAAGATAGCTAAAAATTTAATTTACAGTTTAAATAGGCAACTTTTTGATAAAGTTGTTGCGGGTGTAAAATAAGTTAAAAATGGAATTGCATTCAAATTTTAGAAATTTAATTTACAGTTTAAATAGGCAAATATTTGATAAAGTTGTTGCGGGTGTTAAGTAAATTAAAAATGGAATTGCATTAAACTTTAGAAAAAACAAAACTTTATTATATATATATATATATATATATATATATATATATATATATTATATATATATATATATATATATATATATATATATATATATATATATATATACACATATATATATATATCAGGCTTTCCCAGGAAAGGCGTGCAGTCGCATGCCTTGTTTGTCCATGCATAGAATAAATTTTTCTGACTAACTGACCACGTTTTATTATTATGTGTTTCAAGAATTCGCACCAAAACTAAACGAAAATACCGCAAAAATGCAAGCAATCTTAAAGTAAATAAAAGAAATTTGTTTGTGCTTTCAAATTTAAAAATTAATGTATATTATTAAAAAAAAAATTTACCTATATTTTATTTATATATATTTTTTTGTTTTTTAAGGCGGTAGTTATTTTAGCTATGAAAAATCAAATCAATAAAAAAAATCAAATCAATAAGAAAAATCAAATCAAAAAGAAAAAGATTATTGTTTAATGAAAATAAAAGGACCTTTTAATGTAAAATTTGTTTATGACTTTTATTAGTCAGTAATACTTTAAAATTCACGATAGAACTTTAATTAATTTTTAAATGTTTCGTAAATACATTTAAATGTTTAATGTATTGATACGCAAAAAAGCGCGTAAACGATTGCTATTTATTTGTAAAATATGTTTTTTTTCAATTTTCAAATGAAAGAAAATTTTATTGTCAAACGATTGGGTTGCTTATTTTGCAATCATTAATTGACATTGTGAACGAGTGTTAATATATAATAATATCCCGAAGGAACTGTTTTCGTAACGAATAAAGTTAGTGAATAAATTACGTATCAAGTCTTTTTATTTTCGTGAAAACTTTATTATTTATTGTTGTCTTTTCCTTGACTTGTATCAAATTTCATAGCTCAAAATAGCAACCCTATAAAAAGAAAACAAAAACAGTATAAAAATTTTGAAAAAAATGTTCAGGACTTTTTTTTTTTTTTTTAATTTTTTTTTTTTATTATCAAAATATTTTTCTTACATCCAATTTCAATTTTATACTTTGTTTAGACTTCGTTTCCTTTTTTTAATATTATTTTTTATTCTCTGTGGATAAGTTCCTCTTTCCCACGAAATATTGCCGCGGTCACAGTTTCTGAAAAATTTATTCTATGCGTGGACAAACAAAGCGTGCGACCGCACGCCTTTCCTGGAAAAGCCTGATATATATATATATTATTTTTTTTACTGTTAAACATGTGCGGAGTGTTGCTACATTGACTATCTTATAGCCTGCTGCTACATTGACTATCTTATAGCCTTACTAGCAACAGAGTGCTGCTACATTGACTGAGGGTTTGGTTAGGCCAGGCAGTCTATCAAATAATAAAAAATAATAACTTTTTAAAAAAACATTTTAATTTTTTTCCGGTCTTTAAAATAATTAAAAAAAAAATCTAAAATTGACATTTTATGGTAAAAACTTGAAAACAAACATGCAAGAGTATATATATATATATATATATATATATATATATATATATATATATATATATATATATATATATATATATATATATATATAAATATATATATATATACATGTATATATATATATATATATATATATATATATATATATATATATATATATATATATATATATATATATATATATATATATATATATATATATATATATATATATACACACACACACATACACTTTTTTCTAGAAAATGTTAGGTTTGAATATTAATGACTTTATATTTTTTTAGATGAAAAACTTGTTTAAAAAAAACTTGTTTTTTTACAAATAAATAGCAATTAGTTTTCTTGCTTTCCTATGAATTGATAAAAACAGTAAAGTTTAGCAAAAACATTTGAAAAACAAATTTAATAATTGTCTGTTTCTAGCGCAAATTATAAAGTATTTCTTTAATATATTGACTGAAAAAAGTCACGGAAATATTGTATGACAAAAATATTTTTATTTTCATTATATTCTTATCTACTTTTTTCCTCGACTTCTATCAGTTTGGCTTGGAACTTTTGTTTTGGTTTGTTTTAGAAAATCTGTTTTAAATCTGGTTTATTTTAAAGTCTTTGGTCTTTTTTTGTTTTTTTCTGGTATGTTTTTTAAAATCTGGTTTAATTCTGATTTATTTAATAATAAATCAATTTAGTCAAGTTTTTATTTCATGAAAAAAGTTAATTTAAGGGAAAAAAAGATTTCCATTTTTTCATTTTATACAAGAACAGTCAAGTTTAAAATAAATGAAAGAAATGCTTACATTCAAATCTTAAAATGTTAAAATCTTTTACTTGTAAAGTCATTAAAACATTGTTTTTAACCCTTAATTGCCAAAAATATTAGAAAATTCTTACATTCAAAACGACATTTATTGAGAAAAATCTGTCTATAACAAATGTTATTTATATGTTTTTGCATTCATAATATACTGTTATATATTATGAATGTAAAAAAAAAGTGAAGAAACTGAAAATCATTACAAAAATCATCATTAATCATAAATTAATTGACATTACATCATTAGAGTGAATCTAAACACTTTTAATAAAAATGCGTTTCTAAAAGCACCGCTGAATTCTAAACTGCTTCATGAGACCATTTAGTAATTTCCGGAGACCTAGACCTCTGCAACATAGATGCCTTGGCTGTCTATGTGTTCTGTTTCTAACTATTTCGTTGAGTCTTCTCAAAGGTCATCTGCATAAAAATCAGAGTAAGAAAGTAACCAAGTCTTGACCAGACCAAGTCTTGACCAGACCAAGTCTTGACCAGACCAAGTCTTGACCAGACCAAGTCTTGCATGCAGTCATTTGAATCAAATCATATTTAATAAGGCGAAAGATTTTTTACCAGGACTTTAAAATAATTTAGTCAATTATAGCAAAGGTTGGAAAAGAAATCTATATCTATATGCAAGCGAAAAAAACAAACATATTTTACAGGTTCATAGTGTTGGATTTAGTATCGGTGTTTAAGAGTGAACTACTTTCCTCACGCTGCTTTGAAGGCTGGACTGGCAACCTGTTAAACATTTACTAACTTGTTCTTCTCCTCCTCTCTCGCTCTCTTAAAGTTAAAAATTCAAAAGATAAACAAGGTTTTAAAACAAAAAATTATGATTTTTATCTTCTTTTTTTTTGCTCTGGTATATATTTATTTCTTATTATTATTTGGCTCTGGATTATTTTTATTTCATTTTTGGCTTGTGTCTGAAAAAAACCTGGCAACCCTGTTTGGTAGTGAAAAATAACAAATGCCCTAAAAATATGATATCAAAAACAGTAAAATATATAGGTATATTATTTTTTTAACAACAATTTTCTTTTTTTAATATTCCATTTTTCATATAGTTTTCATTTTTCATATATATTTTTTTGTTATTCACCTCCTCAAGACCGAGAAGGCCACTACAGGCGAGGAGGCTACTTAATAGTGGTTATTTTATATATATATATATATATATATATATATATATATATATATATATATATATATATATATATATATATATGTATATATATATTTTTTTTGTTGTTATAAATATATATGGCAAGATTGAAATAATTGAAAAATGTAATATGCTAAGAGCCAGATTTAACATCTTTGAAAACAACACTGAGGGCAGTACAATAAAATTACTGAGCTACTGATGTTTAAACGATAAACAATCCATTTTATAGATCTCTTAAAAGCTTTATGTATGAGAAAAAGGTGCGCATGTTAATTATTTTTACGGGTTCGGGCCAGGGTTGGCAAAAAAACCCAACCCAAAAAAACCCAACTCAAAAAAACCCACTTTAAAAAAACCCAAAATATATTTGGGTTGTTTTAAAAATGTATGATTTTACAACTGATAACTCTGATTTTAACACTTATAAATGCTTTATTATCAGCAAGTGCAACCTTTATACTGTAATCACTCTTGTAAACACTGTATTTATATACATAATGGTATTTAGAATATACCCAAAACTGATCAATCTGTTTTTGTAGCAAGTTGGTTATTTATTATTTATTTTAAACATTTAGCAAGTTATTATAAATGTTATTGAAATATGTATTAAAACATTAAATTAGTTAAATACTTATAAAGGAAACAAAAATCATTCTATTAACTAAATTTCAAGACATTACTAGTTATTTAGTATCTTTATTCTCCTCTCGAATGTCTATATTCCATTATATTGGTATATGTTCTTTTATTTTTTAAAGCTTATGTTGTAAACTGCAAATTTCAGTACGAAGCCACAAGCAAATTACTATATATAAAAATTATTAAACTTTATTTACAGTTTAGAAATTGAAACTTCTCAGGCAAAAAAAAAAATGCTACAGTTTACTAGATTTGTCCTTAAGTGCATACAACTTTAAAACTTAAAAAAAAATTAAATTATGTGCAAGCAAGTTTGCAACATGTTTGCTCATTTAATGAGAGAACATGTTGAAAACTTGTATGCATTTCACAAGACAAGATTTGTTGGTAAAAATGACACTGGTGCTCATCTGTCTTTTGACAGGTTTTGAATATCAGCTACAAGTTTACAACATGTACCACCAACGGGGGTGACTATGAACAGCGGGTTGAAAATTAACATCAGTATCGAGTTGCTAAAAGGTGAAGAAACACACACAATAGAGCAATATAATGTGTTACTTTGATTCAGTTTGCAATTTGCATTGCAAAACTTAGCCGGTAAAACATCTTCAAGAAAAAAAAAAACTTGGTAGCGAAGACACTGTAATGGTTCTTAACAAATTTATTTTAGATATTTTAAGAACAACCAAAGTTTAGGCAAAATTCATTTTTTGCCAGTCCAGTTTATCAGGTCGATAACTTTTCCAGGAAGCTGGACAGTATAAAGTTCTGATTAAAAAAAATGTAGTGATTAGGCTAGCAGTTTTCTTCTATGATACAAAAATGTTTAAAAAGTGTTCATAGTCATCCTGATTGATAATAACTTATAAGGTTGCAACATCATGTTGCAAACTTATTGATTACATGTTGTAAACTTGTGCAAAATAGTTTTTGAAATGATATGTTGAACATGTTAGTAAAAAAAACTAGTTTGCAACATTTATATTGTCTTACCAACTTTGAATAACTCAATTCTCATAATAATTTTTATACTGATTTTTTTTTAGTAAAAAATATTCTGAACATGTTTTTAATTTAGTGCAATTAATTAACATCATTTATAGTTGATGGAGTCCTTTTTTGCACTATAGGTAAAATGTGCTAGTAGACTAGTAGTAAAACATTTGGCTCGCAACCAGAAGGTTGGGGTTCAAATTACCTCTGCTGAAATTACTGTGCTAAATCTATTTCTCCGCACAGCGCCTTTGTTTAAAAATTTTAGTTGTTAATGTTGTTTGTTAGTAAAAATGGTAATGTTAAGGATTGAGACAAAATATTTTTAAAAAATGAGTTGCTCCCTTGACTGAAGTGGTCATTGGAGCAATAGGGAGGTGAATTTATGAAATTAAAAAAAAAATTATTTTACTCATACAGTTATAAAAATTTGGTATTTTGATCGGTTTTTAAAAAAACCCATTTGGGTTGGGTTTTTTAAAAAACCCTGGGTTTTTTCCAACCCTGGTTCGAGCAGCCAGTTTTCCAATAATAGTAGGCAAATATAATATTATAAATATTATTATATTTGTGTACTTAGCGTAGCATAAAATGTCATTGATGATGTCATACTGAAAAAGGAGCTGCAGAGACTTCAGTACATACATTGAATGCAAGTTTGGGTAGCGATCATTAAAGTAGAAAGTACTTTTATTGAGGCAATAAACTTTTATTGTTTTTCTTTTTCAAAGTGTACAAAAAATATTTAGATCTAAATACACAATCATATAAAACATTAAATCTTTGGCTTTGTCAAGAGGAAATGTCTACACAAGCAGTGAAAATACTATAAAAACACAGACTTCGTGGGATAGGAGAGCCACCTGCTTAAAATAAAAACGATTTTGTTAACTGATTAGGTTTTGATAGTTAAACTATTGTTTTGCATTTTATGAGCTTTGTTTTTTTATTTCACATTGTAGTGGTTCCACTCTTTTTTTTTTAATTTGTTTTTTTATTCTCTGAGTTTTTTCAGTTACTTGTCTGGTTTGCAAACAGCACAAAAATATATCAGAAAAACAATAGTCTGCAACAGTTTTTTCCTGATATTTTCTTTTCAAAACTAATTGCTATTTATTTGTAATAAAAAAAAAAAATTTTTAACAAGTTTTTTATGTAAAATATTTAAATAAAAAATGTTTGGTTGTTTTTAATATCCCCATTGAAATATATATTTCTATCAAATATCATATTATTATAAAATATATATTTCTATCAAATATTATATTATTATATTATTATTATATTATAAATATTATATTATAATATTATATTATATATCCAAATTGTGCATTTAAAATTGATAGTTTATTTCTCGACGAACTATTGTTATTGATGGTGCTTCAAAACTATTGAACTATTGTTATTGATGGTGCTTCAAAAGCTTGTGCATTGTTATTTTACTGAACTTTTTTAACGAAATGTTTAGGAGCCTATTTAAAACATTTTTTTAAATAGAGCAATCGTTATGTTCATTATCTCTATAATTTATATTAACATTATAATTTGTATTAACATTAGAAATTGAGCATTGTAAAAGAAACAATTTCAGACATGTATCAAATGCAGTAAATACATTTATTAAAGAAACCATCTTATTCTTTTATTTAACTTATTCTGTCATTACAAAAGTTATTAATCAAATAATTTTACAAATAAATAATTTATTTTCTTTACAAATAAATAATTCATTTTCCTGTTATATAAGTATCGAGAAAAAATGTCAAATATAGCAAAAACATTTTTAAAAACGAAAAGATGTACAAAATAAGGTATGACTGAATAAGCTCGAGTTTCATAAGTGTTGCAAAAACTGGCATAAGTGCAAACTGGCATATGTGCATATTGGCATAAGTGCGTTTAAACATTTTTCAAACATTGGCATAAGTGCGAACTGGCATAAGTGCAAAGCAGTTGCAAAAACTAGCATAAGTGCGAACTGGCATATGTGCGAATTGGCATAAGTGCGCCAAATAAATTTGCAAACATTGGCATGAGTGCGAACTGGCATAAGTGCAAATTGGTATAAGCGCAAAATACTAATTTGCATTATGCCAATATTTGAAATTTTATTCGGTGCACTTATGCCAACTTGCACTTATGCCAGTTCGCACTTATGCCAGTTTTTTTAACTGCTTCGCACTTATACCAGTTCGCATTTATCCCAATTCGCACTTATGCCAATATTTGCAAATTTATTCGGCGCACTTATGCCAATTCACAGTTATGCCTGTTCGCACTTATGCCAGTTTTTGTAACTGATTCGCACTTATGTCAATTTAACTTTTTGCCGCAAGTTATTGAAACACTTTATAAGTTAAAAAATTGTATATATATATATATATATATATATATATATATATATATATATATATATATATATATATATATATATATATATATATATAATTGTTCCATTTTTTTTCATTTATGTTAACTGTATTCTGTCCCTTATTCTGTGAAGTGTAAAAATTATTTAATATTATCCTGAAGCATTTTCATACTTTTTAGATTGGGCAATATAAAAGAGCTGAAAAGGTTTTCAAGCTTATGTTTAATTGCAACTTTGGACAAGTTGAATCAATTCCACCTGAGGTATACATGGTTCTTTTTAAGTTAATCTAAAATCTTTTGTTTCAAAAGTGTTATAATTGTATGTTATTAATTATGTTTATGTAAATGTATGTATGTTATTAATTATGTATATATTAATTATGTATGTTATTAATAATGTTTATGTAAAAACAGAATTCTTAATTAGCATTGAAAAACCTGGGTGTAATCAGTGTCATGCCTATTTTTCTTTTTTAGTGGGTGGGGAATGGAGAGGGGGGGTAGAAAGGGTACTGTTTTAAAAGCTTTTTAGCTATATTACAAAAAAGCACAATTTTTCTATAACAGTTTTTTTAACTATAACTTTAACTCAGGGAAATACATTCCACCTTTTTTGACATTAAACAAAAATCCAAAATAAATTTATTCAATTATTATAATCAATATGAATTCTAATAATTAAATAATCATTATAATCAATATGAATTCTAATAATTAAATAGAAAATTATTTCTTCTATGTATAAATAATTTTTATATTTATAATTTAATAGATTTCAGAATTTGGTGATAGACAGCCAAGAGTTGATACACCATTTGATATCCATCATGGTGATGTGTGTAAATTTAGTCAATGTTTGTGCAGTTTTAGTTTGACTCTTAAAAAGGTATCTTTAAAGTAATAGTGTTTTATGATCTTTTTGTAACTTTTTTATAATCTTTTTGTACATCTCTTCTAATTTTTTCAATGTTTTCAATTATGTTTCTATTTTTCAATTGTTGTTTATTAAATTTTTTCAAAGTGTTTGTAAAATTACAATGATTAAAGTATTTTTTAACATTTTAACTTTATATTTTATTGATTTTCAATGTTTAAAAACGTTTTTAAAAATGCTAGTCAAGTGTCCAAAGTCAACCAGGGTGTTGTTTATCTTTTGAATAGTTTTGCTCTTGTGCGTGGAGATTTTATTCAACATAAAGCGCTTTTGAATTTAGATTACTTTAAATCTCTGTGTGAAAACCAATATTATTTTAAAGTCATATTTAGTTTGGTTTACTAAATGTAGTTTATAAGCTACATCACAGTAAATCTTTAAACTAAATCAAAACAACCAGTTAAGTTACTTACAGTTACCCAATTTACTTAATATGCTCAAACACTTGCAAAAATTAACCATATAAATGTTTCTATTTAGATCTTATATGTTGTTAACGCATAATATAAGCTTCTGATTAAAAATTATTTTAACAAGAAATCTCAAATAGAATATAAAAAATTTGATACAGTTTTTTTATATTTTATTTAAAGTGATATCAAGATCAAACATTTTATATAAATACGCAAGTTGTTTAGAGGAATTTTATTTAAAAAGAAATCTATTTGAACAAGAGAATTTTAGTTTTCTAAAATTCTCTTATTCAAATAATATTGTGATTGAAATTTGAAAAATTAAATGCAAATATCTACTTAAAAACCGTTTGAATGAAAAAATTAATTATACTTGAATTTCTAATGGTAGATCAAGAAACTATAAATTATAAAAAATGTGGTATTTAATGTTTTTTTGCTTTGATCTTACTCATGTTATTAATATAAACAAATGTTATTACTTTTATGTTATTAAGGTTGTAAACTGTATAAAACAGTGCCATGAAGTTGTTTTACATTAACACAAGGTCTTTGTGTTTTTAAAACAACTTTGCAGTTTGTTTTATTGTTGTTTTATAGCTTTTTACAATAACAATTGAATACTATTTAAAAATAACGCGTTTTTTATCATCAACATGAATGTATTAAATAGTTTTCTATGAGTAATTAAAGTGGTTTAAGTTAATGTTGTTATCAACTTCCTACTATTTGACTAAAAGTTGATTTAGTCAAGTGAAAATCTTAAAATCCTTTTATCTATTTATTAGATTTAACTTTCCAATCTATTATTTTTGTTTGTTTGTTTAAAAACAAAAGCATGTACTATTATAACAAGAGGTGTCACAAATAGTGGTTTTGTGTCACTAAATATTCCGCTGCCAAATATTCGGTAATTTTTTCTTATTTTGACCTGGTTTATTAAAGTGCATATCATGGAAAAAGACAAAAATTGGCAGTTTTGACTTAATGATGCAGTGTTGTAAAGTTTACAACACTGCATCATTAAGTCAAAACTGCCAATTTTTGCTCTACAAAAAATGCTCTACAAACTGGCAAAATACAAGTCAAAGGAAACTCAAAGTCAAAACTCTATCTGTATTTTATATAGACTAAAAGCTTTAAAATTAAAAAAAATGGCTTCAAATATATTTCCCATTGTGCTGAACAGAGGTTCACTTTAACGGATGAAGGAGGTGCACACAAAATTTTCATTGAGAACATTGCCAAATCCCACTTGTTAGTGTCCTTATCAGAGCAGGTGTAATTGTAAACACCATTTATAAGGGCATTTATTCTTTGGTAATGTTGATAGGCTAAAGTAGAAGTTGACTTCATCCATGTTGAAACAAAAAAGTATGAATCAATTTAAAGTTTAAAATAATATTTTAAATCTTTAATTAAGTAAGGAAAAAAGAATATTCTTATTCAACTTATAAACAATAAAGAATAAATGTTTGATTTTTAATTTAAACATTTTTTTTGATAAATAATTATGTGCTACATGGAAAATTAAAAATATTAAATGTAACCAGGGGTGTGGAGTCGTAAAAAAAAAGTAACGACTCCGACTCCAGTTGTTGAAATTTTTTGAGTACAACTCCAACTCCGACTCTAACTCCAAACAAAATTTTTGAAAAATTCTTTGAATTCTTTAAAAAATATTGCCCGGTAAGTTGAAATTTTTTTTTTGACAAATTTATGAAACATTCTTTGATGTTTAGTATGAACATAAGGTTAATTGAATGTTTTGTACATGCACCTGCAATACCAATAAATTTTACTATCGGAGTCGGAGTTGCAATATTTTTTAGCGACTCCAACTCCGGTAAAATTGTCGCAACTCCGCGACTCTGACTACACAGCCCTGAATGTAACCAGTATGACATTTCTAATTATAACCATGTAACAGTTATAATTAAAAATGTCATACATCCTCAAAATTTATCGGAAGGGATTTTCTTTTTTATAAAATTGTAATTCATAATCAACCTAATTGTTTTTCACAATCATAGACTTTTTCAATCATAAATAATTAAGGTTATATATCAGGGTGGCCAGAGGTCCTTGAAATCCTTGAAATCCTGGAAAATTCCTGGATTTTTATAGGTACTGGAAAAGTCCTGGAAAAACACTCCTTTTTACAAAAAATCCTGGAAATCCTGGAACTTTCTTTTATATAGTTCAATATTCCATTTTTTTGTTTTCATCTTTTACAAAATTTTTAGTTTAATTATATATTTTCTGGAATGATGAAAATATTTTAATTAATTTTACTATCTGTATTATTAATTCTACTAATTATTTAGAAAATAGAATATACAAATAATATATAACAATTAATATATAATATAACTAACATAATGCCCAAGTCAAAGAACTGTTGTTTTTAAACAGAAAAGCTATACAATAAAAAGTATTCTTCTTGGGAAAAATTTTGTTCTGCAAAATCAAAGAAATCAAGATGTAATTGGTATCGAACAGATATTAATATTTCTAACATGGGAGTATCTACTTTGGATTCTCATGTAATTGGTAAAAAGCATTAAGAGCATACAAGGACACATACTGGGATTCAAATTCTGGTTTTATAAAAGCTAGATATATTGATTCTAAATTCCTCAGATGCCCTAATTAACAGAATTTATTTGACAAACTCATTGAAGCATCAGAGATGTTTGGTTCTAATGTTAATTGTGAGGTTCTAAAAATGTTAGATGAACATAGGCAGGAAAAACTATATTCTGATATAGTTATCAGAATATCGTTATATATGGGCAGTTGCAGTTTGCACATTGTTCATTGTACCAAAAGTGGGAGTTAGAAAAAATATTTCATGAAATGTATAATCTTTTCAAATAGTCAACAGCTAAAATGGATGAATATATTAGAGTTTGTGAAACTGATCTGCTTGCTTTGCCGTAAGTATGCATACTTAAGCAGAAAAAAATATAATAATAAATTATCTTTTATATTTATATATAAGTTAAGGATATTTCAGCATTTTAAATTTTGGATTTTCACAGTTTCTGCGCAACTTGCTGGGTAGAAGATAAAGGTGTGGCTTCTAAAGGCATTATTGTATGGCCAAACATGGTTAAAATTATAAAATATTGGGAATCACTATGCAAAAGCAGAGGTCCTAAAAATAAAAGCTATGAAGTTCTGGTAGATCATCATCTTCAAAATTTTGTACCTTTGCGAATGCAGTTTTTTAAAGATCTTGCAAAAAAATTGAAAGGATTTCTGGTTCATTTCAAACTTATGGTTGCATTTTTATCTAACAGTTTAGAAAGCATGTTGCAGAGTTTGATGAAAATGATTCTAAAACAAACATTTTAAATGAAGCTGCAAGTGCATATAGTTTAATAAGGATTAAAGTTTGTAAATCAAGGCTCAAATAAATTCAAGGCTCTAGCTGAGACATTGAGTGCATTAAAATGGCTTTCAACCGATGATGCAGATGATGCAAAACAACAATATGATGAATTTGTTAGTGCATAAGGCATTCAATTTAATGAAAAGTTTGAGTTTTTTAACAAGCTGACTGATTCTGTTTGTAAATATCTTGCTGTCTATTTACATAAAACTCTGAAATATTCAGCATTGTGGAAAGTATGTGCTACATTCATTTTTGTGTTATCTCATGCCCAATCAACAACAGTTGTTGGTCGAAAACCTGCGAGAGAGATCTCTTATTTCTCAAAGAATAGTTTATGATAACATCAATTCCCATGACGTTGTTATTCATCAGTAAGAGCTCCTCAGCGATCTTTTAAAAAGTTGTAAGCTAGCGTACAATTGTTACAATGCAGTATTGAAAGAAAACAAGGATCAGTTACTGGGAGATGAAGTAAGCATGAAATGTCAATTTCATGCTTACTTCATTGATGGAGATATTTTAGTTATTAAAAATAATTTGATTAAAAAACAGAAAGAAATTGTTAGAAAGTGCATTAAAATTCTCTAATCTGATGTATGTATGTATGTATGTATATGTTTGTATGAGTTAAAACAAACTTGACATAAATGTATGTATGTATATATGATTTATATGTATATTCCAATATAAATATTTAGTTGTTTTGTTCTAAGGCAATATATTTTCCATTTACTGGTCCATTTTATTGTAGAGAAAAAATCAATAAATCCTTGAATAACCTGAAATTTACTTGAAAAATCCTGGAAATATCCTGGAATTTTAAATTTACTTTTAGCTGGCCACCCTGTATATACTCTCATTGGTTAAAATTTGTAGGTAGATTGATTCATCTATCTTTCTTGAAGAATTGCTTTTTTTAGAGGTTTTTACCTTAAGAATCTTCATGGCTGTTTCAATCAATATAAAAGCGAGTCTGACTTCACAAGAGTTTTTGTGTTTTTAAAAAAAAAAAAAAATTTTCTGCACAAAAAGTATAAAAATTCACTAACTTTAAAATAGTATTATTTTTTTTTTTTATAAACGCTTTCATCTTCAAATTAAAAAAATATAAAAGAACTGTTTTTCTTTGTTAAATAAATATTTACATTAGACGAAATAAAAATGAACATTGTTAAAATATTTTAAATGATTTGGGATCACTTTTTTATGTTTTTGGCGATTTTTATGAAAAACCTGTCAGTTTTATGGAAAACCTAGGCCAAACAAGATTTTCTAACATAGCTACATGGTTGATGGTTGAAATTTGGAACACTTATCCATGAATGTCTATTCTATCTGATTTTCGGTGATCATAAATAAATTTTTAATGCATTTATATTTTTGTTTTTATGACTTTTTTTTTTTTTTTTTTTTTATTTTAATTCACCTCCTCAAGGTCGAGAAGGCCACTACAGACGAGGAGGCTACTTATTTGTGGCTATAACCCTCTCTCAACTCTATAACTTCGAAACACGAACCTTGACGAACAAGGCCGCTGCGCAGAGAAACGAGTTGAGCGCGGTACTACCAGGGATGTGGTGGGGAACGAATTCGGAACCACTCGTTTGTGAAGCGAGCGCTCTACCACTACACCACTACCGCATAAATTTTACATGCGAAATATAATTTTTTTGTAACAATCACCAAATTAACAAATTTTCAATGCTTTATGCAGACGAAAATCCAAAAATTGTTATTTATACCTCTAGCTATGTTACCAAATATGTCTTCAAACTTGGCTGTTTTACATTTTTTCTATATTTATGCGTATATTTCTGTTTACATTTTAAAACAATCACGTGACCTTTAATATTTTATGAGTAAAAAAGTAGCGATTTGCTTTACTGACATAAATATTGCCTGTATCAGTTAAGAATTAAGTTTAATTAAATTTCTTTTTAAGTTAAAGTATGTATATTTAATAACAATTATCTAAAATATACTTTTTTAATTTTTTTTTTGATAAAAAGTGACAATAAATTACTAAAATTTTGCCATGCTCATCATTTGATGGGTTTTATATAAAATCGAAGAAAGTTTTAAATCATTCATTTAATATCATATGGTAAAACATTTTATTGGTGTTTATATTCTTTTTACAGAACAAATTATCTCTAATATTAAAAAAATTTTAAAAGTTTTAGTAACACCTAACATTAAAGTGACAACAAGTAAAAAAACAACAAGTAAAAACAACAACAAGTAAAAAAACAACAAGAAGCCGTAAAGCTCACTTTGAAACAGCTGTGTCTTCATCTTGATTGTTTTTTTTTTTTTTTGTTTTTTTTTTTGTAAGCTTCACCATGCTTTCTTTTTATGTTGTGGCAAGCCCAGGGTTTTTGTTGCAATTATAGATTTAGCCTTAGTCTTTGATTGTGCAAATAAAAGTTTACAAAATTTTAATAGTTGTCAATAGAGAGTTGTTATGTAGCAATTATTATAATAGCATGGGAAGGAGAATAATTAGTAATCTAAAAATTATGAACTTGTTTATAGATTATAAATGCTTAATTTATCATTTATAAATTTATAAATGTCTGGGGTTAATTATTTGTTCTTAAAAAATTGCATTTACTTTAGCAGATTTCATTACCAGGATCTAAATGATTTGCTTAGAATTGACAATTTTATATTAAAGAACCAAAAAAACATTTTTTAAACTAAAATATGTTTTCCACTGTTTTAAAACTATGAACATATCTCTACCAACATATCTAACATAAACAACATTGTTCTAATGTTAACAAGGTAGGAGATTTCTAAATATCTATTGTTTCCTTGTGTTTAAAGTCTCTCAGGTCTCCCCTAAAAATATTTGTTTGATCTTTTGTTTACTGTTGTTGTAATCCAGACATTTTCTTTAAATTAGTAATAATTAATAATTTACAGAAAATGTTTTAACTTTTTACACACCCACTCTTACTTACAAGCATATGCTTGTAAGTAAGATTAGATGTATAAAAGGAATTATCATTGATTTCTTGAAGGAAGTAAAAGAAGTAACAGCTTGTTGATCTGGATCAGCATGAAGCTACAAAAAGTTGCTGGGTTTTTACAAAATTGCTCTTTCACTTTGAAATCTTCAATGACAAGCCAAAAAAGTGTGGAAGATTATATGCACAACAAATACATAAAGCACAATCGGAAACAGAAGCACTTTATTTAAAATATTTATAATAATTAAATTTTTTTTTTTTTTTTTTTAATATTCAAAACTTTAAAACATTACTTGATTTAAAATCTGCAGGAAGTGGTGACTGTCCACAACTGAAGTTGTGACAACAACAAGTTGAATCTGTTGGCAACACCAAATTCTTATAAATTTTTCCAAATAATATTAAAGCTAAAAATAGAATTAGCAGTTGAATGTTTTGGCTTTGTTCCTAGTTACTAATAGTCAAACTTTTCAAAATGGCTCCTTCAAATAAACCAAATGTATAGTCAAAAATTGCCCTTAATGTCATTGACGATATGACATTGACACATTCCTATTGAAAGAATAAAAAAAGTCTTTTAAATTGTTAAAGAATAGTGTCTTTTAGGCATTTCAAAATATTGTTTATGGATCCATTGTAAATGATAAAGTAGTAAGTTCATTTATAAATACTATTTACATTTTTTAAATTACAAAATATATTAAAATAGTGATTTCCAAAACTTTACGCTATTATTTTTAACCATTAATAAGTGATTTTTGGCTTTTCGCTTGCATGAAAGCTGAGTTCATTAATAAATCATTGCTATCAATAAGTCTTGTCCTGATTTTTTCTATTAAAAAAAATCAACAAAAAATTTGTTTAAAAATTTTTTTTTTTGTATATTAGATAAAATTTAAAAATACAACTTTAAAGAACAAATACTAAATTATAAAAAAATTGTTAGATAAAAAATATATAATATTTCATATGAATAATAGCATGCACTTTACCGTATCTTTTACTTTTGTAAAATTTAAGTTGTTTTATTTTTTAATTTTAAATAAAGAAATTTTTTTTCTAATTCATTTGATTTAAACAAATTATTTTTTTTTAAGAGTTTTTTTTGTACTATATTATAACTATCACAGAACACTTTTCTATTTTACGTGAACACTTTTCTTTTTTAAGGTTTGCTGTTCAACAAAAAAGCTGTTTCAAAAACCACACTTAAGGACGACACTGATTCTTTTATTTGTATGGTTTACACTTTCATTTGGGTAGGGTTTTAATTGTTGATGATGATGATGATGATGATGATGATGATGATGATGATGATGATGATGATGATGATGATGATGATGATGATGATGATGATGATGATGATGATGATGATGATGATGATATTGATGATCATCATCATCATGATCATGATCATTATCATTATGACCACAATCATAGTTATTATGATAATAATGTTCAAGAAAATCCAATTAAATTTGTTTTCAAGATATTATGGTTTGTGGATGTGGTTTCCAGAAATATTTCAAAGAATCCAACAAGGTGGATCAAGCTGTGGTGGAGAGACTTCTTTTAATGAAACAAAAAGCATTTGGACATGCTCACAACAAGTTGAATTTGGAACTGCAGTTTATATGGAGTCATTTTTAATTGCTTTATCAAACCTGCCCGGAAATATAATCACTGTTTTAGTTATTAACAAACTAGGAAGGCGACAGTTATTAGGTAAAATAACTTTTAAAAGTTTATAATGACTATGTTTAAGTTATAATTTTTTGTATATATATAGTTTCTTTTTTATATATATAGTTTATAATTGTGATATTATAAATAGTTTTTTTTATATATTTGGTTTAGTTTAAAATAGTTTTTATTAAGTATCATTTTAAAATTATAAATTAGTTAAAGTTAATGAGTAAAAACCTAGATTTTAAAAGACATTTTAAAGAATTTAAAAGTATTTAACTAAATATATATATTTTTTTCTTTAAAAAAAGATTATTAAACGATTATCATATAAGAACCAAAGTTTAAATTACCAGACCAGAATAAATTTACTAAATTTGGTTAAATTTTTAAAAAGGGTAAATCTACTTTCTGGAATTTAGATGCAATAAATACACCAAATGTAAACAGTAAAAAAAGTTCTTCAATCACTTTAATCAAAATAATAGTCTAAAGATTCTTTACCAAACTGATGACATTGTAACAAGAAATAGTATAAGTTTCACTAATCTATTTTATAATCTTTTCTTTCACTTAACATGAACTCTTCCTCAACTTTCTATGTCGTCCAAGGGACACATAAAAACTAACCCTTTATATAAAAATTTGCTTCTAAAGTGCTTGCGGCTTTGTTTTATTATTAAAGAATAATTACAATTTTTAATAAATGTTAATTTTTTAAAATTGGCTAATATTGCGCTTGTGGGTTTGTATTTTTATTTTTTAATACTTTTTAAAAAAATTCTTTTTTTTTTTAAATAAAACTGAAAAATATAACTTACAACATAATTTTGTCTAATATTAATATAAAAACATATTACATATGTGGGAGGACGAGGATGGCAATTCAAATGAAATATTTATACTATATCTTATTTTACTTTTATATAAAAAAATTGTATCCTTTGAAAAAATATATACCGCTCCTTTAATCCGGGAGTCTTAATAAGTGCAAATTGGCATAAGTGCAAACTAGCATGAGCAAAATAACAATTTGCGTTAATCCAATATTTTCAATTTTATTTGGCGCTCTTATGCCAGTTCGCACTTTAATCCGGGATGCTTAATAGGCGCGTATTGGCATTAGTGTGAACTAGCATAAGTGCGATGCGTTGCAAAAACTGGCACAAGTACGAACTGTCATAAGTGCGAATTGGCATAAGAGCGAAATAACAATTTTTGTTATGCTAATATTTTTATTTAACATAGTCGTATTAATCTCATAATAAATCTTTTTATTTTTAAAATAGGCTAATATTGCTTGTGGGTTTGTAATTTTTTTTAATATGTATTGTTCTCTTCTAAAAATAAATTTTTTTATTTTATAAATCGGCTAAGATTGCTTGCGGGTTTGTAATTCTTTTTAAATCTTTTTTTTAATTTTTTTTAATTTTTTTTTTAATAAAAGTGAAAAAGTAACTTACAAAGTTATGTTAACTTTGTTTAATATTAATATAAGAATATAATACATCTGTGGGAGGACGCGGGCTGCAATGCAAATGAAATATTTGTACACTATGTTATTATACTTTTATAGAAAAAAATTTTATCTTTGAAAAGAAAAATATCTCGCTCCTTTAATCAGCAAATACTCCGTTTCTTTAGGATAAAAAGCTCAACTTAATTACCAATCTCTAGACAAACGCATCGCTAACTATTGTAACTCTCTTTAAAGACTAAAAAGTAGAAAATAAAATATAGCAAAAATATTTGCTAAAAACATAATCTTTTTGTACTAAAAAGTAGAAAATAAACTTTTTAATTTAAATTTAATAGTTCAGTAAACTAAAGATTGACGGGTCTTTTTATATAAATCTTGTGCAGACCTGTCAATCTTTAGTTTACGGAACTATTAAATTTAAATAAAATAGTTTATTTTCTACTTTTTAGTACAAAAATATTATGTTTTTAGCAAATATTTTTGATATATTTTATTAGAAGTTAACTAAGTATATAAAAAATTTTATATAAATATATAATTCTAGAGTTAATATTAGCATTTATAACTTTTTATTTAAACAAATCTTCTTCTTACAAGACTGGAGGCAACCACCTTCTAGGCTGGGAGTTATTAGAAAAGGAGTTAAAAGTTGTTTTGAGTTAATTTAGGAGTTAATAGAGTTAAGTTAGAGCTACTAGAAAAGTTTTTTTTTTTTTACTTCTGATTCACTCCCAATCTGGCTGCAACAACCACTGCTAAGTTAGGACTTACTTAAAAAAAAAAAGTTATAGAGCAAGGAAACAAGCAATTAAGTTGAAGGTTGTATGAGTCAGAAAAAAAAAAGATGGCAGTGAGTTCCAAAGGGTTGAAGTTTGGGGAAAAAAATCTAGACAAATAAAAGTATATAGAGCATGCAAAGACAGTAAAAGAATGAGACTCTGCTGAATGACAAGTCAAGTGAGAATAAGTTTTAGTTGATTAAACTAAAGATGATATCTCCTTTGAGCAGTGACCATGTTAGTATTGGTGGAAAAAAGAAAGAGATACGACTTTACAACGATGGGAAAGAGACTCAAGCTTAACAGATAGAGTGGGTCTAACTACAATTGTAATGCGTTTTTAAACCTTGTCTAAAAGAGAAAGAACATCATTAGAAGAACCAGCCCTAGTATGACAACAGCATTCCATACAAGGGGAATAAGAGATTTGTAGAGGTAGAGAATAGAATCAGGTGTAGGGAAATGGTGAGCATGATAAAGAGAAGCAACCTTAGCAGATGTTAATTTAGCAATCAATTGTTTATATGGTTTCCATGAAAGGTCTGTAGTAAAGGATAATAAGTCCTAATCTGTTACAGAAGTAAGATCAGATTCAAGATTGGCTGCCTGTTCTTAGCCATCGAAAAGAGAAGACATTTTGCAAGTTAGCTGTAGAGCGAGAGAGATCAAAAACCGTATTGATTGTCTGACAGTAAGTTATTTCACTCAAGATGGGATACAAGAAATTTGTTTATCAAAGACTCAAATACTTTGTTAATAATAGAGAAAAGACTGGTTGGATGATAATTAGAGGGGTCAGAATGTTCTTCTTTGAGCTTTTTAAAAATTGGAACAACAGATGCCATTTTCCAGCAGACAGAAAAACAAGACTCAGTCAAGCCCTTTTTAAATAGTTTAGAGAAAATTAAAAAGAGTTCTGGAGAACAATTTTGTAAAACTATGACAAGAATGTTGTCTGAACCACAAGCCGTAGAAGAGTTTATTATAATTGAGATATTACTTTAGCAACAGAAGCTAGAGTGATTTGAATGTCTAACAATGGGTTAACCTGTTTAATTGGAATGGAAGAAAGGGAATGGCCATAAGATTCAAGTTTAAAATTTAAAAGAAAAGTGCTTTGTAAATAGTTCAGCCTTATCCTTCGGTGAGGCAATAAGATCAGTCCCATGAATGAGAGATGGAATGTTAGACCTACCCTTGTTAATGAGGCTGTTGAAGGTTTTCCAAAAGTCTCTAGAGCCTAACTTCTGAGAAAAGATACGTAATTTAATGAACTGAGAATAATGGAGCTTAGCATCAGACAGCGACTTTTTCCATCAATTTGTTGCAATAATAAATGGCCATTTGTTCTGAGGAGAGTTGTTGTTTTGAAAAAGTTGAAAAAAATGATTACAATTAGATGTAGCAGCTACACAAGAAGGTGAAAACCATGGAGTAGAATGAGACTAGACTTGAAACCTACGAGAAGGAATAAAAGCTTCCATTCCTGCCTGAATCCAGGAGGTTATATAGGAGGTGCATTTTTCAGCTGAGAGAGAAAAGACATCAACCCAAGGACTTTCACAAAGAAAATCACGGAAAGAATCTTTTATTATAAAAATAAAAATAATTTCACCATTCGAGCTTAAAATAATTTCACCATTCAAGCTTAAAAATTTTAAAATTTTAATTGATATTATAAATGGAAGCAAAATTCATTGTGCAAAATTAAATGTGGGTATATGATATTGGTTATTTTTAGTTAAATTAAAATATCATATAAATTTCCAAACGGTAAGTTAAATTATACATTATATTATCGTGTTTAGAACCTTTAGAAAATTTGTATTTTACACTGATATGAATATTGAAGATTTTGAGCTTCCAAAGCAAATGATAAAAATTCACCATTTTTTAATTTTGTAAGAGAAAAAGCAGGACACGGTTCGAACTCCGAACCGCTCGCTTACAAAGCGAGCGCTCTTACCACTATACCACTACCGCATCTGCACATCATATGATCAGAAAAGGCTTAACAGCCAGAAGCTTTTCTAATATACAAAAGGATCACAAAACAATTCACAAAATGATCTTGAATTACACTGAAAATATAGGAAGACGAAGTAATTAAAGAATTATTGAGCAGAATTGCTATGGAAACAGAGTTTCTCTAACTTTCGATAAATGGACATCGATAAGAAATAGAGGTTACATAAATATTAATGTCCACTCTGACAAAGCATTTTGGAATCTAGGATTAATTCCTGCTTTTGGAACAATTCCTGCAGAAAAATGTGTTGAACTTGTCAATGATAGGTTAGGTGATTTTAAGCTTTTAATCAAGAATATTGTAGGTATTACCACTGATGGCACTGCAGTTATGACTGCAGTGCCATCAGTGGTAGGCAGGTTAATTGAAAGGTAGGCAGGTTAATTGAAACACATCAGCAGCTATGTTTAGCGCATAGAATTCAGTTGGCTGTTATCGGCATACTCTACAAAAAACCTAATATTGAGGATAGTCTGCATAATGAAAAAGATGCCAATGCTACATCAGTTCCTACACCCGGATTTGAAAAAGAGCAGAATTCCATAGATGAAGACGAATTAATTGATGAAGATTATGAAGATGAAAATGATTTACTTATAATCTCCACAGAAAATGATGATGATAGTTATTCTTTTCTGGTACATCAGCAAACTTTACCATTAATTAAAAAAGTTCGAAAAGTGGTCAAAATATTTCGTTCTTTGTCTACAAAAAATGACAAAATCCTAAAAAAAAATATGTAAAAGAAGAG